GGGGCGGTGCTGGCGAGGGGCGGCGCTGGCGATGGGCGGCGTAGCGATGGGCGGAGCTGGCGAGGGGCGGAGGTAGGGCTGGTAGGAACGATAGAAGGGCAGAAGAAAATAGGAGGGTAATTTGGACATTTTAATGATGTAGTCAACCCTCACTAAAAATGAGAAAAGTCAAATTGGGAAGTTTAATTCCGGACAGAGGGAGTATTTTTTCTTATTGGAATCAGACCATATGAGATCATTGACAATGGATATGCCTTGACGGCGGTTATGACTAAAACAACGATGATGACATGTGGATTGTGGTAGTGTCGGCGTCAAGCAAGGTCTACTAGACCGGGTCTAATATTTTAAGGTGCCCAATTTTCAAAACATTATACAAAAAATTTAATTATGAAGCCTAATATTCTAAAAGGTAGGTGTCAAATAAACTTGAGTATTTCAATATGCTGAAAGATGTTTCATTCACTTAAACTACTAAAGTTGTTGTCATATATGTCAGACAATAAGATATATTTCTAGTGTGTGGATTTCATTAAAAATTTTAATTATTTAGAACAAGAAACACATGTAGTATCTATAAAAATAGTTTAAAAAATGAATAAAACTATTTATGTTTTATCTAAAATAAATTTGAATACTTCTACCAAAACATTATTTTTTTCAAAAAAAAACCTAAAAAATTATTGGCATCAATAAAAATTAAGAAATATTTATTAATTATACTTTAATATTTTAAAATATTTTTTTTCTTCAACCTTTTTCTTGTTTCAAAATAAGATACCATACAACATATACTCTCCTTAAATCTTTCAAAAAAAATACCACATTATTTTATTCAGTATTTATTAATTTTTTAAAACAAGAAAAAGGAGAGTTTCAAAAAGGTATAATTAATAAATACTGAACAAAATTCATATCAAAATAAGATACTCATTACAACTACCATACAACATATATTCTCCTTAAATCTTTCAAAAAAAAATTTCTCCTTTAATTTGCCAAAATTCAAAATGAAAAATGTTTTTCAAAACGGAAGAAGTATATTTTATGTCTATATATTGATTTTTAATAAATTTGTTTAAGACAAACTAAAATACTCCATACAAAATTCATATCACAATAATATATTTTTAAAATATTTTCATTTTCTAAATAAGAGTATTAACATTTTATAACACCACAATTGGTGATAAATATATCTCCCTCGACATATGTTACTAAACCAATCGTAACTAAGTTTTTAATTGAGAGTATATATACAATGGGCCCGATTTTTATAATAATGCACCTTGTATAGAGAAATGAGAATAAAGTCTAGCTCGAGCCCATTGTATATACTCCCTCCGTCCAAAAAAGAACTTCCCATTTTCCTTTTTCATCCGTCCACAAAAAAACTTCCCATTTCTATTTTAGAAAAGTTTTTGAGAATGAAATGTCATTTCTACCCTTAATTCTCTTCTTCCTCTCCCTTTCTTCTTTCTTTCTTTTTCTTCTTTCTTCTATCATTTTTTTTCTTCTTCCGTTTTTTCTTTCTTTCTTTTTCTTCTTTTTCTCCTTTTTTCTTTCTTATTCCTTCTTCTTCTTTCTTCTTCCTCATCTCCTTCTTTATTTTTTCTCCTTCTTCGTCTTTTTCTTTTTCTTCTTCCTTCTTCCCTCTTCTTCCTCTTCTCTTTCTTCTTCATTACTTTAATGATTTTTCTTCCTTATTTCGTCAGCTAGAAGAAGACATTGTTTTCTAGATCTGGTTGCATCTTCACCGGATCTAGATTTGCAGTGGCAAATTTTTTTAAATTTTTTCCAGATCTGTGGTGGATTTTTCCAGATCTGTGGCNTGAGGAAGCATCATCGGCGGGGGGGGCTTTTGACGGCGGGGGTTGAGGAAGCACCATCGCGGTGGTGCTGAAGTGCCGGCGGCGGCGGTGCTGAAGTGCCGGCGGTGGTGGTGCCGAAGTGCCGGCGTCGGCAGTGGTAGATGGCATCAGTCAGTGGGGGAGTACAGGGGTGTACAGGGCAAAAAGGCTAAGGGGTATAATGAGAAAGTCAACACAATTTTCATCACACATAAATTTGCATAAATTTGCGTGGCCCGGTCAAATCGGGAAGTTCTTTTTTAGAGGGAGGGAGTGTATAGTGACAATAATAACGTTCAAATTACACACATCATTCGTACTAGGCTACTATACATACCCAGCCTCCAAGTTTTTGTCCTACTACATTTTCTACGTATTTGTAATTTGCCCAGTTTGCCCTCCCCCGACCCGCCCAGGACAACCCGAAGACCGACCCGGATCACATGGCCATACCGGAAATCACGGGTAACCTGTAGTGTTGGTGGCCCCCCCCCCCCCGCGGGGAACTTATAATAATTGTCTATTTGCAATTTACGGTGGGTTTAGTTGAATTTCAGGCGCGGACAAGCTATACCATTTGAGGAAGACTGCCGCCGAACGGAGTGCCTGCGCGGGAACCATCTCCGGCGACGGAGACTTCAGGGAACTCCCCTCCGCCGCAATTCTGGCAACGACCCACCACGAGGATCCGCCGGCAGGAAGGGCAGGAGGAGTGGGACCCGAGCCACGTGTCGATGCACCGCACGTGGAACACGTGGCCGCACTGCGGGAGCGTCCGGACCTCTTCGCCGTCGGCGTAGTCCGCCAGGCATATGGCGCAGTCCGCCGGGAGCTGCTTGCCGCCATTTTCTGCGGCGGCGGCGTAGGCGAACTTGGGGAGGGATTGGAGCACTTTCTTCTTCAGGCCTCTGTTTGCCGCAGGGTGGGGCCGGGTGGGCGGGCTGGCGGCGCCGCTCCTCCTCTGCCGCCCGCACCGAGCAAAACCACAAAGGCCTAAAAAACAAATAAGTGCGCACAGCATCGCCGCCGGGATGACTACGAAATCAGAGTCTACTCTAACCCCCGACGCCAGTGGCTGCGCGGTTGCCGGCTTCGCCTCGGGCGGTGGGGCCGGTGATAGATTGATATGATTGGTTCCAAAGAGAAATCTGTTTGGGAGAGCCATGTGTTCTAAATTTAATCTATGTCTCACTCTCTTCCACTATATAATAAATGAAAAATGTTAGGGGTATACTTTGTAAAGGATAATCTCTAACTATTATTATTATTGGTATTATTATAGTAGTAGTCTCCTCTTGGGTTTCTACCTCTACGCATAGTCCGCATAGTCCTGTAATCATCCTGGTAAATAGCCTTAGGAATAGCTCCTGCTAACCGTGTGTTCATATGTGTATATATACTCTGCATGTAAACATATAATGTATCAAATTATTTATTCATTAATATCTTATATGGTATCAGAGCTTTGAAAAGGAATCTCTCCTTTTTCGATCTCCTCTTCACGCTCATTTCTGTACTCTCTTGTGTTCGCCGGTCATCATGGCTGCTGGCAGCACCCCTTCCACCGTCACTAAAGACACCACTGTGATCCAACTTCACGCCAAAACTCATTTTCCGATCAAATTGGTGTCAACCAACTTCTCAATATGGCAGCGTCAGGTACGCTCCACCCTCATCGGTCTGGATCTATTGGGCTATATCGATGGCACCATGCCTACGCCGCCCACAACTATTAACGGTGCCGCAAATCCATGCCACTCCATTTGGTTCCGCCAAGACCAGTCAATTGTGGGTGCCCTCCTTGGGAGTTGTTCCGATCTGGTTCAACCCATCATCTCAAATGTTGATACGGCTCGTGCCGCCTGGACGAGTTTGCATTCTGCATTTGCTAGCGCGAGCCGTGGTCGAGTTCTCTCGCTCAAATCTCACCTCGGGAAAAATCCTCGGGGTAACCGCTCCATTGAGGACTATTTATTTGATATGATGTCCATTGCCAACGAGTTAGCACTCATTCAAAATCCTATTTCTGAGCAAGATCTGGTGGTTCATGTCCTCAATCAAGTTGGGGATGAATATGATGCCATCGCCTCTGCTGCTTTGCTCCGCCCTACGTCGATCGCTTTTACTGAACTTAGGGACATTCTTAAAGATCATGAGCGCAAACTCAAAACCTCTGATGATGCCAAAGCTACTCTGGTGGCTACGGCTAACTACACTCAGCACCGAACCTCTGGTCGCTCATCGCCGGTGCGTCGTGCTGCCCCCTCTGCCAGTAGCTCTCACCATCATCGGGGGCGTCAGGCTGGCGGCAGTGGGGCTCGGTTCCCTAAGCAGCAGCCTACGAACTGCCATTTTTGTGATATTCCTGGCCATGACGTGAAGGAGTGCCGTAAACTCACCCGGTTTTTGCGCAATCATGGCATCTCTTCGTCTCCGTCTGCACATAATACTATGGCATCATCCAACGCTGCCCCACAATGGTTGTTTGACAGCGGTGCTAGTCATCATACCACGCCTACTACTCAATCACTCCAATCGTTCTCTGACTACGGGGGCCCCGACGAAATTCGCTTGGGTAATGGTAATGGTCTCAAAATTACTCATACTGGTCATACCTCTATTTCCACTCCCTCTAGGTCGCTTTCCTTATCTAATGTGTTGTGTGTTCCTTCTCTTAACCGTAATCTTGTTTCTGTCTCTCAACTTTGTCAGTCTAACCAAGTTTCTATTGAATTTTTCCCCTCTTCCTTTCTTGTCAAGGATCTGAAAACGGGGGCGAAGCTCCTCACCGGGGATAATCAACATGGTGTCTACTATGCTCGATCCCGTCCGCCCGGGCCACAAGTGTACTTTCATACTCAAGGCTCTGTCTCCGAGTTTCATCACCGACTTGGTCATCCGTCGAATAAAGTTTTACTTTCCATGCTACGGTGTTGTAATAAATCCTTCTCTCCGGAGAATATTCAAAAATTTCATTGTACTTCTTGTTCCCTTGCCAAAAGCCATAAACTTCCATTTTATGCCAATTCATTTACTAGTGCACGACCTCTTGAGTTATTGTATTCAGATGTCTGGTCTTGCAAAGAAAAAACCATTGATGGCTATTTATACTATGTTATCTTTGTGGATCACTTCACCAAATATGTTTGGCTCTATCCTCTCTCGCGTAAATCTGATGTTTTTAAAATTTTTCCTCATTTTAAAACTATTGTGGAAAATTTTTTCAAGCAGAAGATTGTGTCAATTTTTTCCGACAATGGTGGTGAATTTCTCAAACTGAGACCCATGCTCAACACGTTTGGTATCTCACATTTCACCACACCACCTCATACACCGGAGCATAATGGTACGTCTGAGCGACGCCATCGTCACATTGTTGAGACCGGTCTCTCTTTGTTGCATCATGCTCACATGCCTCTCCAGTATTGGTCCTATGCTTTCCAAACCGCAGTCTATCTCATAAATCGCATGCCTACCCCCACTCTCAAATCTCGCTGCCCTTATCGACTCTTATTTGGGGCCGATCCGAACTACCTTAAACTCCAACCATTTGGATGTTTGTGCTATCCGTGGCTTCGGCCCTATGCTCACCACAAACTTCAATCTCGTTCTATTCCCTGTGTTTTCGTCGGCTACTCCACTAATCAATCGGCCTACAAGTGTCTTGACCTTTCTACCAATCGTCTCTATCTCTCCCGGCATGTCCAATTTGTACCACACATCTACCCTCACTCCACCATCTCTTCCCCATCTCCTAATACCCCAACCCCTTGCCCATATCCTATTTCACCTCCCCCATTTGCTAAAACTATTGCGCCAGATCCCTCCCCTGCCATGCCATTCCCAGCATCTTCCTCTGCCTTACCTGCGAATCTACCCAGCCCATCCAGTGGTCACTCTGCAGCCAGCGTCCCTGGGGGTGTTCCGTCTTCTACCCTTGTCCCTCTACCAGCCCGTATCTTATATACTTTTTGGTGTACCCCTCATTCTCTCCTTGTCTATATAAATACGGGAAGAAATTCAAAAAAAAATCAAATAAAAATAGGTGGTAAAGAAGAGAGTAGTATATATTTGGAGTACACCTTTGATGTTCCAATAACATTGCTCATAATAAATCCGATACACGGAGGCATGGAGCTTCATCAAATAATATAGTGTTATCACCGTTCATATTTTAATTACAAAATGAGAATTACGAGATAAAATCTTATGATTTTTGAAATTATTTTATCAAAAATAAAAAATTGCATATCGAAAATAAAAATTACAAATAAAAAATAAAAATTATGATTTTGGTACATCAATAAAAAATAAAAATTACATTTTAAAAAATTATATCAATAGTTCTACTAGATACAAAGCAAGAGATACAAGAATATTTTATTTTATCAAATAATCAATTAAAATTTACAAATAAATAAAAGTTATTGAAAAGAGAAAAATAAAAATATAACCAAAATGGGGACATGATCAAAATCACTTTTAGTGCCATTTTGAATTGTGTGTCAAATTGTAAGATGGATGGTTTCTACTTCAAATATTTCTCATAAACCTCGAGAGAATGACCAAATTATGAGAAAATAAAAGAAAAAACTAAAAATTGGATTTCTATATTTTGTTCTCAACTTTAATTGAAATAAGATAAAATTAGATTAGATCAGGAAAGAATTAGATCGGATCTTACCTTAATAAATTCTAATCAGATTAGACAATAAAAACTTGGTCTTAATCTTCTAGACTACGATAGTCCTAGACCTCTCCTCGGCCTGAAAGGATTAATCAGGTACTTCAAACCTTCCAGGGATCTTGAGCAAAAGTGTGACCTTAATCGTCTGAAGGAAATAAGAAGAGATTTGAGGGGTAATGGTGCAACAAATCACGATCCGAATCACAACCCCGCTGCAGGTTCTTATTGGAAGAATGTAAAAGGGTATTTTAAAATGTAAATTTTAGAATAATAATGTAAATTTATTAAAATTATGTTTAATTTAAAATAGGAAAAATTTACAACAATCTCTGATTTCATAAGAATACTCCTAAAAATATATAATTACACTATTCCTCCCATAATTGCTCTTTTTTGTATAAATACTCCACCTGCCACCTCACTTGCACAATAAAATTATGTAATATCTAAATGGATTTTTAAAAGGATGATTTGGAAAAAAAATTACTTTTTTAGTTTTCTTGAAAAAATTCAATTACATAAAAAATCATGTAGATATTACACAGTATGATGGTGCAAGTAAGGTGACAGCTGGCGGGTGGAGTGTTTTTGTAAAAGGAGAGCAATTATGGGGGTAATGGTGTTACTAATTTATTTTCGGAATACTCTTGTAAAATGAAAAACTTTTTGGAGTATTGCTGTAATTTTTTCTTTAAAATATATTCTTAATATATCAAATTTTTATACCATAATTTTTTATTATTAAAAATCATATTTAATTTGTGATCATAGGGTCACAGTTTGACTTCTATTCAAATTAGGTGATTCGTACTTGATTTTTTCAGATCCGAATACAAATCCAAATAAATTTTCGAACTTTTATCGAATACAAATTCAAATCAAGAGTATTCGATTGATGAGTTTGAAGAATATATTCGGAATATAAATTAAATAATACATATATATAGTTATTTTACTCATATACCCTTAAAAAACACCCTCCAAAGTCTAAATCCTCCAGAGTCCAAATTGAGCGGGCGGGCCTTTTTTCCACTTGATAATAGATACTTGAGAAATAAGCTTACGGTTTATAACAACAACCTAATACAATCCCACAACATGAACCCAATATAATCCCACAACATATTTTCATTTTCAATATGTAAAGTATGGGTTTATAATTTTTTGTTCTAATAACTAATGCATAACGTTGTCCATACAAAGTGTTTTTGAAAAAATAATATGAATTACGTTAAAGAATTGGGAGGAACAACAACGTTGTGACTCAACGCTATAGAATTGGTATACTAAAACGTGAAGAATGAGTTCATAGACATAGCAAATCGCATATAAACACTTTCAAATTAAAGTTATTTTGAAGTATACCAAAACTCCAAATAAAACACAAGTAATCTAGAATGTGTATGGAATGGAATCTTAGTCGTACCTCGAACCATAGTACCATAATAAGGTGCCACTTTTTAGGCAAATTTCAAACAGACGTGTTGGTTAATGAAATAACCAACTTCCAGTAACATTTCAAATGTTGATTCTCTAACA